GATGGAGAGATGGCACCGGCGGCCCGGCCTCCTCGCGGGGCTGCCGGCCCGGGTGGTCGCGCTCGCCGTCCTCCTGCTGCCGCCGCTGCTGCTGCTGCTGGCGCTGGGGCCGGTCTCGGCCGTGGCGGCGGCGGCGGCGGCGGCCGGCGCGGGGGCCGCCGAGGGCAAGGAGTGCGACAAGCCGTGCGCCAACGGAGGGCGCTGCCAGCCCAGCACCGGCCAGTGCGAGTGCCAGCCCGGCTGGGTCGGGGACCAGTGCCAGCACTGCGGGGGGCGCTTCCGGTGGGTGCTGCGGCGGGACGCTGGGGGCCGGGGCGGCGGGGCGCGGGAGGCCGGCCGGGCCGGGCCGGCGGCCCTGGCGGCCGCTCTCTCGGCCAGGGCTCCCTTGCGGGGTTGTTCTCGGGACGGTCTTCCCGGCCGAGAGAGTGGCCGTCGCCAGGTGACGCCGGCAGGGCCAGGAGGCGATCGGTGAAGCGGGGGTAGGGGGGCGGACTCGGCCTGGCCTGGCTCGTTGCGTTTCTGTGCGGGTCTGATGGCAGCATGAAGGAAAGGGCCGGGGAGCATTGTCGGGGCGCAGTGCGAGGGGTCCTGGCCTGTGTATGAGGAAGGCTCGGGCTTTCTGGGTTCGTTTCATCTACTCCATTTCTGCACAGCCCAACGGATGACGCCCTGGGGAGTTTACAGGGATAAAATGCTGAAACATAGGGGATAAAGACCATAAACATAAAGAGCAGTAAGGGAGGTAGCATGCAGAGAGCAGCACAGTTTTAAGCAGTTGTCAATACGAGAAACGATAAAAATCCTTTTGCCCTTGTAACCTGCTTGGGACCTTGATCTCTGGTCAGCCTGTGGGGGCAGGCCTGATGTTGGGTGAGGAGGAGGGGAGGGTGTGTGTGGTCGGTAAATTAGGCAGGGGGGTCACATTTATACTCTTTACGAAGTGCCCCAAATGGTCAGGAACTGAATGGAATTCATTGATACTGTGTCTTCTGCTTTCAGAGATAAGACTTAAAAGTAAAGAGTCTACGCAGAATGACAATTATTTTCACCTTTCTCATAATCTTCCAGATTTGAAACATGCATTTATTTTGCTATCAATGTGATTTCAAAATGATCAGAAGTTAGTTTTCATGAACACAAGATTTTCAAAAGAAATGTCACATCTTGACTGATTGCGGAGCTTATCACAAAGGGTTGGTTCAAATCTTGCTCCTGCCATGACCTCAGCTGCAACCGTCACTCTTTAGCCCCCAAACTTCCCATCAGTGATGGGAGAAAAGTAATGTTGACCTTACTTGGCATATCCTACTTTTTTCTTACAACAAGTTCAGAGTAGCTTACAGAATTCTCCTCCTGCTTTCAGTCTTATCCCCACAACAACAACCCTGTGAGGTAGGTTGGGCTGAGAGTGTGACTGGCAGAAAGTCACTCAGAACTCTATGGCTGAGTGGGCACTAGAACCCAGATCGCCTGTGGCCCAGTCATGTGCTCTTAATCACCACAGGGGCTCTTTTCTGGTCAGGATGATTATAGGATGATATCTATGCTCTGGATGGTCTAAAAAAGCTCAGTAATTATGTACTTGGGTAAAGCATCTAAAAGTGTTGTGGAAACAGCCTGGATATTACGTATTGCAGGTTCACAATATGCTCAGCATTATGTGCTGTGCACAGAGAGTCTAGAGGTTGAGGGGCCAGGAGATGAAACAGAAAGTTGCATGTATGGACTTCGGCTCACGTGCTGGGACGCTCCCACCCCTGCAGCCCCCCACTTGTGCGCAGGCCTGTTCCAACCTGCTGTAGAAGTTCCCCTTGGTTTCTGTCTGCTGACAGAACAGCACCATTGGATGCAGTTCAAAATAATATTGGAATCACTTCAATAACAATGTGTTTGTTCAAAGTACATTACCTATGGTTTCTTGGCATTTCTTATTATAGCTTTGGCAAGTAGACCAATAAATATTATCTCCATGTTGTAGATGGGGGTGTTGAGGCAGAGGGAAGGTGCGGCTTGCTGTACTGCGTTTCATGGGTGAGAACAGGCTTGTTCTGTTGGCTTTCCAGTGACTCTCCCTCTTAGCCCACTATGCTGTGGTAGCGTAAAGCTGGTAGAACGGAGGGTGATGTTTGGCTTCCGGGTTGGCATGAGAGATGTCAGCATGAAGGGGATTGCAGTGGAAAAGTGGGCTGAACTTTCCTTATACGGACCCAGAAAGACTTGACTGAGACAACAGAGTATGCAAAACCCGTAAAGTGTGAAACTGGGCCGTAACACTGAAATCGCAATCCTGTGTCTCTTTACTGATGAATAACCCTTCTTGAACTCAGATATAGGATAGTACTGACAGTACATTAAAGGATGGGTGTCTGAGCTTCCTGAGCAGTTCATTTACCTGAGGCAGGTAGGAGGAGCAGAAGAGGTTGCTTGCAATTCTGTAGGTAGGATCCTGCAACAAAGGGTGTGAAGAAGAAAGAGGAGTGGACCCAGTTTTCTGAATTAAGGAATAGCTTCCTGATCTGTTGCTATTGGAAGATCCGTCAGCTGTGGAAGGAAAGCTGTAGTTGGTTGTGTGTACTGGGGAGCAGTAGTGATCCCCCAAAGACACGGTGCTTCCTGCTGAAGGCAGATGGATTGCACTGTGCATTAAGATGGCTTTGCAATGGTAGTTTCCAGAGGTTAACTGTGTGTGTTTTTGCTGCAACAGGTTACGGATCTTTCAAGACATTAAAAAAACTTAAGAGAGATATTGTGGCATAAGCTTTGGTGGACTAATGTCTATTTCATCAATTGCTTTTCATGGTACAAACTAGTCCACAGAAAGTTTATACTGCATCAAATGTTAGGCTTTTAAAGTACTGCAGAGCATTTTAGTTGTTGTTGCTTTTTAGCAATGACTGTGTGTGTGTTTGTGTGTTTTGTGTGGGTGCATATAGGTGTAGAGCTGGGACTGAGGATGCTATTCTGTTCTTCGGTGCAAGAATCCTGAGAATGGGTTACTAAGAAAGGTCTAAGGTGGCCGTTGGGAAGGAACTTGAACATTCTCTGTTCTTCTGCTTTCAGTAGCCTTGAAAATAACACCATAAAATACTAATCTATTAAAAGCGTGTTTATCTGCCCCCACAAAAAATGCTTTGTTAGTAATTCTATGGCATATTTGTCATGGCTTAAAAGAAGAGACAATCATGTTTCTTCCTGTTTCTTAAAGTTTCCAGTACTGCCTGCTGGTAATTCTGGTTTTCTGGGGGTGAATAAATGAGTGCTATTTACTCTTCCCCCCTTTCTCTGAAGGACTGTAGAGTGGATTTATGAGATCTTTTATCCAAAGTCAGTTGGCAAAGAGAGGGTAAAGTTGTTTTTCTGGGCCTCGGAGTTTTTTGAGCTTGGGCAGGAGAAGATGAGTGGAGATGATGGAGTGGCACTTGTGTGAATGATGTGGTTACTAGAAAGGAGAATTTATGCTGGCAATAGCTACGGAGGCTTTTACAACCCTGTGTCCACCAGCATTGTGGGTTCTGTGGTAGAGGCAGAAGAAGTGGATGAAAGAATTGGATAGACCTATCAGCAGTCATAGCTTTTTGAGCCTGGGTAGGTAAAGGTGATTCAGCAAAAGCATGGCAACTAGTTCTGTTGGGGGACTTAAGAATAGGGGAGAAGCTAACCCAGAGGACAGATAGATGCAAGGAACAGCGTGTGAATGTTTGGGTCTCTGGCTGCAACAGCAGCATGGAGAAGGGCCTTTTGGCGTCCTTCGCAGGCGATGCAATCATAGAGTTGGAAGGGGCCAGAAGGCCATCTAGTCCAACCCCCTGCCCAGTGCAGGATTTTAAGTTAAACCATTCTCGGATGACTGTCCAGTTGCACCTTGCATGCCTCTAGTGTGGGAGAGCCCACAACCTCCATAGGTAATTGGTTCCATTGCTGTACTGCTCTAATAGGCAGTCATTTTTTCCTGATATCTTGCCAGAATCTGGCTTCCTACAACTTGAGCCTGTTATTCTGCACTCTGGGATGATCGAGAAGAGATTCTGCCCTTCTTCTTTGTGACAGCCTTTTAAATACTTGCAGAGCGCTGTCCTTCATCCCCTCAGTCTAATCATGCCCAGTTCTTGCAGTCTCCTCTCACGGGGCTTTGTCTGTTGCCCTCCTTTGACCTCTTTCCAGCTTGTCTGCATCTTTCTTAACTTGTTGGGCCCAGAACTGGACACAGTACTGCAGATGCGGCCTAACCAGTGCTGAGTAAGAGGGAACTACTGCTTCTTGAGATTTGGAAGTGACACTTCTGTTAATGCATCCCAGAATAGCATTTGCCCTTTTTGCAGCCACATCACCGTGCTGACTGATTTTCAGCTTGTGATCTATAACACTTCCAAGTTCCTTCTCCCTCGCAGTATTGTTCAGCCAAGTATTCCCCATCTGGGAACGATGCACTTGGTTTCTTTTTCCTAGGTGCAGAACTTGGGCATTTGTCCCTCTTGAATTTCATTCTGTTGTTTTCAGTCCAGCGCTCGAACCTATCCAGGTCACCTTGAATCTTTCTGTCCTCCATGGTATTAGCCATCCCTCCCAGTTTTGAGTCATCTGAAAATTCTCATCCAAGTCATTAATGAAAATGTTGAACAGCATCAGGCCCAGGACTGAACCCTGCGGTGCCCCACTTGCTGCCTCTCTCCAGGTTGAAAAGGTGCCAGTAAGGAGCACTCTTTGAGTCTGATCCACCTGATCATTGTTCCATCTAGCCCACTTTTAGCTACTATGCTAATCAGGGTATCATGGGGCACTTTGTTAAAAGTTTTGCTGAAGTCAAGATATATTACATCCACAGCGTTCCCACAGTCTATCCGCAAGGCTACCTGATCAAAAAACGAAATCAGATTAGTCTGGCAGGATTTATCCTTGACAAATCCATGTTGGCACCTCGTAATCCCTGCATTGTTTTCAAGGTGTTTGCAGGCTGACTGCTTTCCAATCTGCTCCAGAATTTTCCCAGGGATTGATGTCAGACTGACTGGTCTGTAGTTCTCAGGTTCTCATTTTCCTTCCTTGAAGACAGAGACAACACTAGTGCTGATTTCTTAAAGATAATGGACAGTGGTTCTGAGAGCTCTTCCACCAGCTCCTTTATGACTCTAGCCGTTTATGTAATAAGACTGGGAATAGTCCGGTAGGTCGTTTAATATAATGGCTCGACTAGCACAATTACAACAGGGTGGAGCATGCCAGTTCAGTGGGTGGGTTGTTAGGGTGGGAACTTGATTCTTGGTCCACGGAGGTTGTGAAGATGT